GGTTATCTTTTTTTTGCAAACTTCAATTTAAATTCTGCTTGCGCAGAACTTGTTTATTTAATGTCATTATAAACTCATATAAATTTGGTGTGGGTCCCATATCTAATAATTGAGATATCGGTATAGGTACCCAAAATCCACCAGCCGCCACTGATGTGTGGTATTATTTGATTTTAAGATATTTAATGTATAATATGCTCAAAGTTGCAATAAATCTTATATTTTCCAATAAATTATGTATTTAATTAGTACCCTGGTATACTCGTCACTTTCCTTGCATTTAAATTTAGAAAACACAGATATTTCAGAAACTGTTTGAAAAAGTGACTGGCCCGGTCTGGAACAGTATATTTATTTATTTCGTCGCGAGTACCAAAACTTGACTAACTGCTCCATGCTGCGCTGTTCCTTATATACTCAGTGCCTTCCCGAATATTCCAGCGAGTTCCGGACCGCTCTCGATCGCTCGAGCGCTGACTCACCGGCGATGACTCATAATTCCGAGATCCAGAGCGGTACTCGCTACAATATTTAGAAATCATTTCCACAAAATTTAGAATTATAATTAAATATAAGCTAAAATTTCTTTAATTTTATATTGCAAAACAAAAAAATATCTTTTTAAGTATGAGCAACGCGTTTAAAAAAATTAAATTTTAATTCCTGTAGACGGACTCGTCCGAGAGGCAATTTAGTTTCTTTGCTTTGGCAATTTAGATGACCCGCGCTAATATTAATTAATGCTCGAATTAACACAACGAACGGAGGCTGCACTTGGCGTTAATTAAATTTGGTGGTCCGTTTTTAGCGCGATGCGGCAAGAAAGGGAACTAAAACAGGGGGAATTTCTATGTTAATTCGATATTTTGATGGTACGTTTTTTACGGCAAATTTTTTTCATATTTTAAGTATTTTTTCTCCTCCCACCTTTGTAGATTTTATTTGTTTGTTATTGAACATTTAATTTTTGTGGTGGTCGAAAAACTATAGTTTATTAAACTTGTTGCATAATATACTATTTTGCTGAAAAAGAATTAAAAATTAACTTGAAAATATTATTAAGTAAATAAAAATTTAAAAATAAAAATCATTTAATTAAAAAAAACTAATTTATTTATTCTTATTACCTAAGAATTACAAAGTAATTATTATACAACTGAATCCTTATTAATTGCATGAAATTTAGTGAAATGCCGCAAATAAATTACGAATCTATTTGTAAAAGACAGATTAATCGCTAGGTACCTTGTTGTATCAAATCGAAAATAAATTTATTTAATTTCTCAATAAGGATTTCATTAAAACTTTTAAATGGAAACTGGTTTCGTGCTGAGACAGTTTTAACAGAATTATCAATAAATTCATTGGTCATTCCCCCTTAAATCAACATTGCAAATAAATTAAATTGCCAATACTTACTTAACTTAATAATGGATTTTCTATCCCCTTTGGCTTACTTTTAAAAAGAGGGATTGACTAAGTAAAAAATTAGATTGCTAGTGCATTGAAATGTAGTTAAAAGGCACTTTATTCTTATTAAAATATTCACAACAGAAATATAAGGAAATGCAACACATTTTTGTATCCAGACTTAAATATAGCATAAAAATAATTTTAATAGGCTTGAAAAACAAACAATAAAAATGTAAAAAAAGACAAAACATTTTTAAGATGTTTAAATTGCAAAAAGCTTTTTTCTTCGTAAATACACTTAAAATTGTTGAATTGTGAGTAAACAGCGTATCGCATAAAAAGTCCAGAAGTTATTAAAACTTAGGTCAAAGTTCAAAAGTTTTTAGAATCAATTTATCTCAAGGATTCGCTTTACATTTTCTTTTCTTAGTGTCCTATATAATGAGAACGTTTTATGTGTATGTAATGTAATGTGCCTTTTTTCTCCAAAAAATTTCTGAACACGTCGATTTTGATGTAAAATTTTCATATTTGCCGCCATGATTTTCTAAAAGGTTAAATTAAACCCAATGAAAAAAAATATGCATGCCTTATACAATTTGTTTTTAATAGTATATTATGTATCAAGTTTGATAAACGCCATTTTATACACGAATTTAATTTAGGCACGAGCGAGCTTGCGAGCGAGTGCTTAAATTAATGAGTGTATAGAAAAGTTTATAAACGAGGTGCATACTATGCTTTTTCTACAACAAATACTTATTATTATCTTAAAATGATTTAAATCAAAAATTTGTATAGAGCGCCATCTATGAAACAATAGGGGAATCTGTGTGTCACCGTCAAATGTCAATTTTTTATAATTATAAACACAATTATAAAGGTTATAAATTGAAATGTATTTCTTGAAAATTGACAGTTTTTTACAGTGAAAGTAAAGAAGATGTTTTATGTGCACTTTACAGTGGAGTCCGTGCCCGAATTTAAGTTATAGTTTACTGCCGGCGCAATTAAAAGGTCAGTACAATGTTCATATAAACTTTTCAAATATTGGCGTTGAGAAATTATTTAATACTTTTGTATTTTTGTATTGAGATAATAAAATAATTTTCACATTTAGTATTATTTTACAAGAAAGGCAATTTATTTTAACGATTGTATGACATTTGACAACTGTCAACTAACTTAAAACTAACTTCAGTCCGTGACTAAAAACCTGTTGCTAACTTCAGCCCGTGACTAAAGCGCCATAAAGCCACAACTTGTCAATGTGTATTTAAAAGGTCACTTAGTGTCATGGAAACATGGCGTTTTAAAGGTGGGAGTAGAAAAAATAATTTATATTGAAAAATATAGGTACACAAATTTTAAAAACTGTTATAAAATTTAACTGTTGCAGTTTTAGTCCAGATTTATATACCCTGTGTGTTTATTTTAAAAATAAAAATATTTTTAAGAGCATATTTTAAAAATAGTTTCATACACTGTGCCTGTTTTTGCTTTCGAGCAAATACAATTGTTTTTACCTACAGGGTGTATTTTTTATTTTCTTATAAAATGCATTTTAAACTTGTATTTCTGACAAAAACTGTTAATAATATTATAATATGTATATTCAATTTGAAATACCCATGTTGTTGCCCTTTTGTCCCTCCATTTCATTTTCTTTTATGTTTAATCGTACCTATAGGAATACCTATATTTTTGAGCCCAAAAATAAAAAAGTTCCCTCTACTTTGTTAAGCCCTTTACCCAAAATCTACTGTTTCTATTTGAATAGCAAGCACATAATTTAAAAATTTAAAAGAAAAAATGAGTTGAACATGGTCTAAAATTTTAAATTTTATTTATTTATTTTATTTAAAAAATAAGAAAATTTTTTAAAACAATTTTGGTTTTATTTTATAATCCTTATTATTTATTAAATAGTAATTTTCTTAATATCTAGGTATTATATTAAAAAGTAAACATTTATGGAAGGTATGTATGTTTTAAATAATAAAAAAATGAATTAATAAATATTTTCAATGTTAGGGGTAATTATTTTATAATGAAACCAAAGAAAGTTATAAATCAATTGATTTCAAGCATTCAGCTTTTCAATCAGACAAAAAACAGCAAAGATATTTGATATAATTAACATGGTAGTAATTTTATCTTTAAAATAATGTTATTTTTTAATTATATCTTGGTTATAGGTATGCTTACCTTCTGAATTTATTTTTTCATATACATTTACAAACAAAATTACTGTCTATTTTTATCCATATTTTAAATCAGTCGTTAACGACTGATATAAATTATATAAACCGATTTACATTTTAGATGATTTTATTGGCCAAAAAACAAATCTATTAGCAAAATTATTTTCTATGGTTAAAAGCAAATGTCACAAATGTCAAATAAATTTTGATAAAATTTTAATTGTTTTATGTCTAATTTAAGATGTCAATGTATAGAAATCGACCTTTTTAGGAAAAATATAAACGTTGAAAGATTATTACCTAATTTATTTTATAAAACAACAGTTTTTAAAGAAAAATGCTGCGTTGCCATGTCGTGCAAAAACCTATATCCACTGATATACTAAATCAGTTGGTATAAATAAATCAACGTTTCTGCAAGTTTTTTACATCTGTCACGACAAAATGATGGTGGGATTTCCCAACACCAGCCGAACAACGGAAAATATGAACCCAATTCGCTACTTTCGCTTTCGAATAGTCCAAGGCGAAGCACGAGCAGCGTTGCCGTTGCCGGGTATTTTACCCAAAATTCGGGTATTTTGGAGTATGTGCCGGGTAAAATAATTAAACGGGTAAAACCGGGGATTTTAACCCTTTGACCCAAATTTGCAAAAATAAAAATTGTAGAACCAACAGCAAAAAATAAAACTTTAAAATTAAAATTCAACCATTCGACCTACGCTATTTCTGCGAAAATGAAAATGTCATTTTGACCATTTTGTTGACTGGGTTTATACAGTTACCTAATAGATGGCGCTATACGTCTTTATTTTATATTGCGCATGTCCTTGACGTTAATTTGACAGTCAACGGGTATTTTATTTATAACAGAAACAGACTGAACACCTACAGAATCGCCGCATTATTACACACAAAAGGGGGGGTTCAAGAGGCAGGAGGTCCTGTCAGATTTGAACCATCAAACAAAATGTTAAATTCTAATTTACGGAAAAAATAAAGTACTTAATCCCTGAGAGGAGGTTCATCTACTATTTATTAATAAAGTAAGCATATCTATGTATTAATAAAGTTCCTACCTAAATTAGGTAACCTAATAGTATTAGGCTAATACCTACCTATTTACTATTAATAAAAATTTGACCTATTTTTTTTTTAAACAAGCCACGTATTCGGACGGGTAATTTTATGGGGATTTTCATGTTAAAGTAGGGGTAAAACCGGGTATTCTGTCATAGTGGCGTGGGTAATTGATAATTTCAGTGCGGCAACGCTGAGCACGAGAGCCCCAAACAGCAAACGAGCAAAGTAACGGTCCGCCAAACACCGAACAAAAGAGCAGCGTTCTGCAAAACCGAAACTTTTTCGCATTAATCAAGCAACCGTCGATCGAGCGGTAGTGCCAGCGATGGAAGTTTAAAGTTTTAACTTGAACTTCACAGTGTGTGCACTCGCATAACGTAAGATGTATTTTTAGAACGCCGAGGAGCGTAAAATGACTACGAGATGCTGTTGGACGGTGGCCCACTAATACGACGCAGCGGCCAACTTTCCTTTTAACCCGAAAATCGAGTCAGTCGGTTAAAAAACACAACACAACATACTCCGGTGCAACAATTATGCGAATCAACCCCAGGAACAAGCGCAAAATCAACAAAATTAAAGTGTGTTGCTGAAAAGTGTGTATTCTCAGTGAAAGGTGCCATATTGCGGATGGAACACAACACAATGAAATAAAGGTATGGCGTTGCATTGACTTCCTTTCAGGCACGGCGTATTGGTAATCCAATATCCGTATCCTATTTCAACACTTTACAGCTTTATCTCTATTTTTTCAACCATACCTTCGGGTTTAGTTTTAGGTTATGTTCTAAATTTAACTTACAGTCACGAATTACCGCAGGTACAGACGTTTTATTTTAGTCTTATTTTCATGAATGACATTGCGTTCGCATAACTTTGTAATCGACCAAAAATAAATGTTAGGGTTTTACTTTTCAACGTGATTAAAAAAAACTTAATTAAAACAAACATGGCAAATCTAATTTGCAATATTCATGGGAACCTTGTGGTGTGTTGTTTTGTAATTATAACCTTTAAAATATGTGTGTTGTAAAATCCAATTACGAAAAACCTTGAAACCACAATGATTTGTTACAATTAAAAAGCGATCAAGCGATTTCAAGAGATTTTTTTAGATTTAATTTTTTTTCATCTAAAATAAAAAATAAGCAATTTTCAGCATCTAAAATATTATGTGGTGTTTCTTAAGAATTTTCTCAATAAACTTGTCACTTTATTACAATTTGTAGAAATCGGCAAATTTTTAAAGATTTTAATTTTTTTAGGTATCAAAAATACCGCGATATTTATTAAAATGAATTAGTCAAAACTGACTAAAAAGCATCCACTATAATTTTCGTCTATAGCAATTTGTATCCGGAACATTTAGCAGTCAATTTTCATGAAAAATTGTCCCCTGAATCAAAAATTGTCTTCAAAATTTATAAAAGAACAGTTTTTCAGATATGGTCAATTTTCCATATAATATGGAATTGACTGTATCTCAAAAACTGCTCTACTTTCATAATTTTTGACGGTGTTTTCGTATTAAGGGGACAATTTTATATAAGAATTGACTGTTAAATGTTGGGGATACCATGGTATCCCATGGTTAACCATGGTATAAGTGAAAAAGCATTTTACTTTAATATAACTATAGAAAACGCTCGGGCAAATTTAACTCATACTCATTACCGTTTTTTTATACCCTGCTATGCAATCTTTGTATTATAAAACTTTTAAATAGACAATAAATAAAATGCCTGTATAAAATTATACCACAGATTGCTTAAAAACCTAATAAAAAAATGTTAGAAAATTAGCACCATTAAATAATAGTAAATATACAAAGCAAATGCATTTCACTTAAATTAATGTATATTTTAATGGTTTAATAATAACCCAGAAATGGTTAAATTAAATCTTCAATTATATAACATATCATTACAAAATAGTAAAAATACACACAATTAAAAAGCAAATTAAATACTTTATACTTTCTTCTTTTTCTGGTCAGGTAAACAAGATTTACCATAGATTACAACAAATTAAGCTCTTTAAAAAAATTTAATTATCACCGTAAATTTTTTTAACTGTTAAGAGTTTATGCAAATAATGACCAAAACTTATTTAGCTTTTGCTCTCATAATTATAACTAATAGTTTATTTACATATGAGGAAAAATAAGTGTATTGTAATTTGTAAACGAACCAGGTCAAATTTATTTATTTTTACAATTTTGAACAATGGTATTCAGTATAACAATTGTTCTTTAAAATAAGTATTTATTTTTGGTGAAATTTTAGACAATCAGTTTAAATCTATAAAATATTTATATGGGGAAACTGTAAACAATTAAAATTGCAAAAAAATTAGAAAGTTTTTGATTTATTTTAGCACAAAATCTTTCAATGACAAAAAACTATTATCTGAACATTTTAAATATCTATAAAAATTGGCACAAAAACTAGGTCGGTTCGTTAACTTACGTAATTTAATTAAGTATTAGGTAGGTACTGAAAGATTTAAGTTTAAAATCATAAGTAAGTAGATAATTATGATTGAGGTTAAAAATAAATAACCCTACACGGAAAAAAAGGTATTCTATATATATTTTATTTAAGAAATGATTTATTCTTATTTGTAATTTAAATTAATACTTAGTGAAGGATATAGGGGGTTGAATGCAAGAACTAACCTATACTTATTTGGATATAATTTCAATGTTAGGTGCAAGGGTAAACTTATTCTTATTTCAAGAAAAACTATCATATTATTTTAAATGCAAGCACCCTCAAATAAAATATACACTATGCTTAGTTTAAGAATAAGTATTTTTTTATACAAATGTTATAATTCTTGGCTTTACTTTTGGATTAAATATAAGGTATCTTTATGTAAGTTAAGCAATAATTGTTTCAAATATTGTTTTTTGCTCGACTTTAAATAAAAGTTAGTATATAATGACCATGTTTATTTCAAAAGGTATAGAGTGGATTATCCTATCTCTTTTTTTCTAAGACTGACAGAGAAAAATAGATATTATAATCCACTATTTACCTTTTAAAATAAACATGGTCATTATATCCTAACCTTTAAAGTCGTGGAAAAGTTAAAAAAAGAATAGACAATATTAACTTGACCTGAAAAAATGATATTGGTCTATAGAATTGTCTGTATTACATAACTTTTTTACAATGTTTCAAATACCTATCTAACTATATATATAAAACGCCTAGACAAACAGGGTAAAACGGACACTTTCGTGAGTGGGGGATATTTTTAAGAATAGGCCAGCCGTACCAATATTTACTAATCTTAGAATAAATATAATTATATTTATATCCAGTATAATTTTATATTTTTAAGAACAGAATGGAGGGAATTTTCCAAAATTTGGTCTAATCGATTGTTAATCTTAAATTAAGGATAAGATTATTTCATTTTAAGTCTTTCTTAACATTTAACAGGCAAGAATAAGATCTGCTTGTTTAAAGAAATATTAATATTTAGTTTAATGTTAGTTTTAGCCTTGACAATACTAGGTCAATTATCTAAGAAATAAAATCTTTTTAATTTAAGGATAGGTTAATATTTAAAAGAAATTTAATGTATTCGTAGCCTAAGCAAATTATACTTAAATCAAATTTAGAAATCATTTTTCCGTGTATACATTTCGGGAAACATTTTTATTCTATGAATGTTTGCAAAATACCACATGACTAACTAAAATAGATAACACTATCAACATCCAAACAAACTAAATAAAACTGTCTCGTATTTTGCAGGTTAATTTCGCTGAAGCCAGACACGAAAACCTCCAACGAGTTACTAAATTATGAAGACTGAATGAAACGCGCAATCAAGTGAGTCTGTGATATAAAGAAAATTTGTGATAAAGGCGACACAATGGATTTCTTGACTGACTACGATGAGCAGCTGTCGATAAACGACACCTACATCACCAAGTTTGGGAACCAGGTGCAAAGGAGGGGCAGGATTTTCTCCTACACCTTCTGGAGGACAGAAATCGAGTCGGAGATATTTTGGAGCGTGCAGGGAAACAACCCAGATGGGTCCGCGTGGGTCGTGACTCAGTATCTGGGGCCTGCCAACGAGGCCAAAAGGTATCAGCAGGAATTGATCCTGCACCACCCCACCGAGAAGAAAATAAAGCTGGGCTACAGGTCGTTGTGCACCAAGGGAATGAATTGCATCAAGATTTCCAGGGAAATTGTCCATCATTTCAGGGACTTGAACAACGATTTCCATTTCGAGTTCAGGTTGATCAAACTGAAGAGGAGGCCGTACCCGCAAAGAATGTTATAAGTGTTGCCAATTGTATTTAGTTGAAAACTAACAGTTACCAAGAGACTTACTGAAAGTGACAGTGTTTTTACTGTTTTTGTTTTGTACTAACAATGTTCATTTTAAAAATATTTTTATTTGAATTTTGACAACGTCAAATTCAGTTATAAATGTATACCCTTTTATTGATCAGCATGCATCAGTAATCAATATTATGTTATTCTAACATAAATGACCTCAATTTTTTTACACTACGAGGACAAAACTATTTGAGCACTTATTTTAAACAGCTCAATCTTTACTAATCAAGACATTAGTAAAGTTTTGAACTTTTAATATTATTTTTATTCTAGTTATTGTTAGTTAAAATGAATGTACTTAATTTTACATTTTCTGAAAATTATTTTATTTTATTATATTTTATCTTCATTAAAATTGTGGCAAATATTTATTTTCTTTTGTTTATCATTGTAATAATTATTATTTCTAAATAAAAATGTTTAAACCGTATAATTTTTTTATTGGTTATTGAAACCCAAAGAAATTAATTTATGGACTAACGGGCGACTTTAATTTTGGGTTCAGGTTAATCAAACTACCCGCTAAAAATGTTGGGAGTGTTGCCAATTGTATTTAGTTTAAAACTTAAAGTTACCAAGTTTTTTTAGAGGTTAAAAATTAATTAAAAAATCTGAAAGTTAGGGAGTAACTTCAACAGGGTAAAAAACTAAGAAAAACATTGTTTTAAAAAAAATTATGTTTTTTCTTACTTTTCAAAGAATTTTTCTGTTTTTTTAGTGGTCGGGGCTCAGGTTAAAAATTAATTTAAAAATCTATAACGTTGGGTGTACCTTTAGAAGGATAAAAAAGTAAAAAAAAACATTGTTTGAAATAAAAATTGTGTTTTTTGGTGGTCGGGACTTACTGGAAGTGTCAGTGTTTTTGTTTTTTACTAACAAAATTTATTTAAGGAATATTTTTTCTACTCCCATATTTAAAAGGCCCATTATCGTACATGTTTTAATGACACTAAGTGATCTTTTGAATACACATTGACAAACTATGGCTTTATGGCGCTTTAGTCACGGGCTGAAGTTAGCAACAGGTTTTAGGCACGGACTGAAGTTAGCAACAGGTTAATTGACAGTTGTCAAATGTCATACAATCGTTGAAATAAAGTGCCCTTCCAGACTTAAAAGGAAAACTTGAGCATGGAAATTGCAGAAAAATTTAATTTTCACTCACCAAAACACATGCATGTATAAATACCGGAAACAAATTACCTGAAACAAATGAAAAATATATTAGTTTAACATATCTAACATTAAATATATTTTGTAACACAAAACCGGAAAAAGCTTTTCCTTTTGGTGTATAAAATAGAATACGTGCTGGTATCGAAACCCAATATATCCACAAACGGGTAAATAAATTTTTAAAAAGCTTTTAAACCAGTCTCAGCTCGTAGAACCCAACATATTTCTTATCGATTTTGTCTTACGACTTTGTAATTCTTTTCAGATCAACTGATTTATGTAGCGAACGCTTATTGCTTTAACATTACGAGATTTAAAAAAAATACAGACCACTTCCGAAAGAATTGTTCTGCTAAAAATAAATTTACATAAGGTATGATAAGGAGTCAGTCAAAGGTCAAAGGTTAAAGGTCAAATGTAAAAAGTCGCCTTTTAATTAACAAAAAAACAAATGTTCGACTTCTGGTGTCAACTATGTTTCTCTATTCTGTACAATCAAAAAAATAAGTAGATACCTACATATAAAAAGCTGGGAGCATTAGGAGCCATTAATGTCAAAAAGATGGCCATTTTTTAGTACATTTACAAAATGATCTTAAAGTAAATGTTTTTTTTCCTGTAAAGTAAACATTTTTATGGATTTAAATTTTGTTGTCTCGATTTGACACCTACAGCTTTGGTAATAAAAAGTGAAAACACCCCTGTCGAATCTATAATGGGCTTTTTATTAACCATTAAAACCTAATATCTGTATGCGTAATGGGTTTTCAGCATGAATAAAACATGTTTAACGTTCGATGGCGGACGAAGTGTTTACATTACTACCAACCTTTACACGGAAAATTTTTCAATTTTTTTTATTTATACCTTTAGGCCCTAATAAAAGTCAATTTGTTTTGAATGAAATTGGTTTATAAAAGTTTAAAATCATTGAAATTGCTTTATATCAAATTTGCTTTGCTAAAGCATTACAGAAAAAATAACCGCGATAATAACTATGGCTCAATTGCACAATTGGCTTGAGCCTGACCTGCATCGTACACAGATTATCATGACCACCGGCTAATATCCGACGTTGCCAATTTGCTATCCCACTTAGATCCCTCATAATATAATATATTATTATACATGTACACAGTAATAATCGAGGTAATAATAATAATATTCAATAATTACTCACCAGAAATGTGGTACTAACCTCACAGTGGCAGCTCGTCGTATAAAGCAACTGAGGCCGGGCCTCACATTTAAAAATTATAATATAATTTGAAATATAAAACTTTTTTAAACTAATTTCCATTAAAAGTATCTAAACATCGAATAACCATCAAAGTTTAAAATATTTCCTTTAAATTTAGCGCGCATCCCTTCCAACTTTAATTCTAAACGCTTAAATCATTGCCCGACCGCATAATAGGGAAATCGTAATCACAGAAATGTGCGCTTCATATACGTCACACATTGCCGATACAACATCATGCTCCCCACCGCTGCACGGTGCCGCCGGCATCCCCGCAAGGCGGGGATAATAAGCGAATTTTTGTAGGCATTGAGGCCCACAAAGTTGGGCTTGTAGCACGGTATATGGAAGACAGTAGAGTCAGTCCCGAGATCTGTGCGGCTCGCTTATCAGCCGTTGTAAAAGACTGGGCGGGGCGTGGAATGTTTTAGTAAACAAAGCTTATTAATTAGATATATGCGCGTTTATAGTTTCTTATTTCTGTTTAGTCTTTGCCTTAGCGTTAGAATGGAAAGTTGTGATAAAAATGCAAGCGTAAAATACATTATTATGTTGTGAATTCATGTAAAAATATTTCAAATAATTATAAAAGATAATTTTTATTTTAATATACTATTATATTAACACACAAATACCACAGTAAAAATCCCAACAAATATAAATAAAAATATTCATGTTTTTTTATAGTTCAGTGTTAAATCGTTGAGTTTTATATACATACTGTGCTTGTACATTATTATTTTGTTGTTGTGCGGTTGTGCCTTTATTAATCTAAAAATAATTATTGTGATATAGGTAAAAATTAGCAGTACCTCCTGGGTAATGTGGAAACCTGCTGAAGGAATAAATAAAAATCCCACCTCGTCCCGCACTTTTTGTATTATTCTAGCTAAATTTTGAAAATTCTTCTCGTGAAAGAACATATTTTTAAGTAATATATTTTTATTATATAGATTCTGAAGTGCTCCAAAAACGCGATACCTTGAAAATTTCAAAAAAAAATTGCACGAGCCGCCACTGGTGTGATGCTTGAACCCGAACAAATTGTCCAATATTGTAAAATTTATATTATCTTAAAGATATACTAATACTTATATTTATACGAATTATTTAAAAAATTGTACAAAAGAGTAACATTTATTTTTGTAATATTTTTAACAACAGATTTCAATTTTTTTCTTGACAATATTGTGCAAATGGCTAAATATAAAATCTTACTGTTTCCAACAAATCATAGAAAATTGACTTAAACAAACTAATTGGAAAAACCAATCCAACTATCTTGGATAACGTAGCACATTTATAGAAAATTATTAACAATGGTAAATCGCAGTAGGCTTCGTTTTGGTTGGCAGTACTGGATAATACCTAAGGGCAATGTCTTAGTGACAGTACTGTTCAACTTTTTATTTTTTTAAATAGACATACCTTTTACACATTAGTTTGGTGCCTTGGTATAACCATCGAATAATTAACACTTCGTAAAAGTCGACGTTGGGTAACTTAACGTCAGGGTAAAAGTAAATAAATATGGGTGTTAATGTTTTCACAGCTTATTACGCCACTATATTTCCCTTACAATCGAACGTTAAGCATTTAGGAGCGGCTAAACAAATATCTTCTACGCGATATATTTAGAACGCAGACTCTCCAAGTAGAAAAATAAAACGGACTTTTGTTGAAAATTCTTTTAAACAGCAGTTTTGTTCAAAGAGTGCTGCATAAAGCAAATAATCAAATCCGCTTTTCAGTGATTTTTCTACAAGATAGTTGTTCTTTGAGACTGGAAAGCTAATTTCTTTGAAGGAAATATCGAAATAAAAGCAGAAAAATAAATTTTATATTGAGCCCGTTCAAAGAGTAAAAGAAATTAGATTTATTTTACTTTATGAAGCATTTCATTTATAAAATATATCCAATTTTAAATTTAAATTAAAACTGTTTTAGGTTGGTATTTATAATTCAAAATGTATATAATGTTATTTTAACTCTAGTTGCGGTCGCAGTAAATTTACTAAATCAATAGCAGTTATTTAAGTTTACGTCCCAGGGTTATGAAATATTTCGCTTTGGTATAATAATAATATATTAATGCCCGAGTTCATAATTTACATCTCTGGAACCAATACGTCGTACCTGACCGATCTAAAACCCGTTTCCCACTTCAATGCCACGTTGTCAAGTCGATCAACCTCATTTTATTAATGCATTACACAGTAAAAAACTATTTGTTAATTTTGACCAAATATTAACCAGATTTGATGTTAATAAATTTACGTTAAGTTTACAACCAACTGTAATCTGTTAACTAAATGAACAAGTAGTTTGTAATTATAACAAAAATTATGTTAATTTAATAAAAAAAATCCTACATCAATAATTCAACCATAATTAATGTAATTTTCAAAAAAGACCTTATTTTTACAAACCTTCTTGTAGATACAGTAACAAAAGTATTTGTTTGAAATTGGGAACTTTGATACGAAATGTTGCTTTATTAATCAATTTCCTACACAAAAAAATTAACACATACGAGGTGTGTTCAGAAAATATCGGGAATTTTCGTTTTTTGAAACAAATATTTATTTATTCGTCTACATTATAAAATTGTTAAAT